TGTGAATTGGCCACCGTAAAGAGCTTAACCGCTGACGTTTCTAGCGTTAGACCTTTGTCACAGCGGAAGACAAAGGGCTAATGCTGGAAACGCCAGCTTTTAAACTCTTTGTTTGAAATATGTTAAAATTAGAGTTTTAAAATTTGAATAAACGTGCCATAGCATCTCCTTCATCGGTTAACTTGGCCCGTATTTGTCCGAAAAAGCAAATGATGATGATTGTGGAGTAAGTGGAAAAACAAGTTGTCTGTAAATTATTAATGTTGCTGTAGGGACGTTTAGATTATCAGTGGACGAGTTAAACAACATGTACGAGTTTTGAACACAGTTCAGGTGAAACGTTGCGAAAATATACAAGCATAGTATACCGTTCGAGGATTTGTGGCGCTTTTTATGAGCAGCAAAGGTCCGTCTACAGCTACTGCCTTTGTGTTTGTGCTTGTGAAGAAATACTCAGCCCTAATTAATATGTTAAAAGTACTCCAGTAATGTTGTAAATCTAATATTAAGCACAACTGAAGGATTCTTGGCTACTGTGTTCAATATATAAAAACGACACGAGCAGGGTACAATAGGAAAAAAGGTTCAACCGATAATAGAAATATTTGTGCTATATTTATACTTATAGATACTTCCATGACTTTGTTTATTAATTCCTAATTTCTTCGCTGAGTAACAAGGCTGAATTCTCAATGAAAAATATATTTCTGTCATACGCCGCCGGCTTGTTTTCCTTCAATCTTTAGAAGTGAGGATTCTAACAAGTAAAAGGTTGCACAACTTGATCTGTACTTGCGACTGTTCTTAATTAGTTTTAAGCTTTCATGTGTTAGACAAATCTGACATATTATGAATCAGTTTAGTGTTGCGTGGTTCTGTAAATGAAAATGTTTGCGTAAACTGACTATAGTCACAAATATCAAAACTCCGACCCCTCTAAAAATCTGTGTTCTTGACAGCAACGAAAAAGTGATTAGTACTGACTATAGTTTGAAAGCCCTTCGTGAAATCTTGAGTTTGGCTTTAAGAATTTCTCAAAGTTTCCGTATTCTCTTTATACTGTCGTCTCCTTTATTCGCCGTTTTCAGCTAATTAGATAGAGCCCAATTGTCCGTGTTAAGGGATCGAATGAGACGAGGGATGTTAAGGTCAAAGATTCCGAAGTATAAAAAAATTCGGCGTAATCCTTGGGTATTTTTATCATAAATCAGAGATTGGGGATATCATTCAAGGAAATTCAGGTTTGTAAGCACAGGACAGGTGATGAGCTAGAATGACGAATGTCGACCAAGAAATGTTTCATTTACCATAAAATGTTTAAAGTAAACTCTAAAATATAACATTGTTAAAACAATTAGGCATCAAAGGCGTACCATCTTCAATTTTGTTTCCTATACATGAAGGAAGCGCCTTGGTTGTCGATCACGTAATCAGCGTACATACGTCAGAGGATTGTGAATTAAAGTGTTATTTAGAGGATGATTGTATGTCGATCAACATCGAACCAAAAAAACTAGAAAAATGAATGAACAATCCTCACTCGAGAATTAACTCATAGAACAGACATGAGTTGTGGTTATTATTTGTTTACAGTATTTTATCATTAATAATGTACATGGAAAAATCACTCAGTTCTGATTGGTAAAGATAAATTCAGTTTTTAGGTAATTCAGTGCAGAAGAGAGTTCATTCAATATAGAAGAGGGTTAATTTAGTGCAAAGAAAGTAACAAATCGGACATTCTGATTGGTCAATAATCAAAGAAATTCACAAATAGCCAATCAAATATGAGCCTTGGATGTCGGCGTTTTAAGTAGGTTTTCTTTCGCCACCGTTGCTGAAAAACAGCTCAAACAACGAAAACGCTGTAAAAAGCACTGCTATTTGGTTGTCAGTTTGGAAAAAGTGGTGTTCAGAGAAGAGAACTGCTAAGGAAATCGAAAATTACAAGCCGAAATTAAAAACAAACGTGGTTAAACCTCGGAAACGACGATTCCATTTTATCGAAAGTGATCCGGACACAGACTGAACAATTCCTTGACCTGTTTAGCCGGACTTTTTTGCGCCTTAAAGTTGTAAAGATATTTTTGCATATTATTGTTTTGATCGTACGCGGTTGTTTTGACCGAACGCACGGTTTGAATAAATAATTTTTGCATGCACTTGATGCGTGCCCTTTGCTTATGTTTAATTATGATAAGCCATCTCGTATTTTTCCATGTATATTATTAACACGTAATCACATGATTTTTCTCGTGCAATTTGGAATAAACATGCAGTTGTTAATTTTTTCAAAGACCACAAATTGCACTCGCCCTACGGGCTTGTGTAATTTGTTAGTCTTTAAAAAAAACTTACTCGTGCTTATTTATTCCAAATTGCACTTGAAATCATGTGATTACCTCTACGAACAATCGAACAATCTGCACGCGCGATCGAGGCATCGGCAATGCATCAATGAGAGAACATAGATATCAATGGTCTTTAAACAAGCAATGGCCAGTCTCAACCTCTTAGTGAGATTGTCGCTCGTGTGGGTTCAGTTGACTTTCTGACACAGAGACCTTCGATATGATAGGAGAACCCCATCTGTATGGAATGACGGTCATTTTAGCCTCCTAACTGTAAACAAGCATGCGGTATGAAAAGAGCCCCTACATAACCTACTCTGGTCCGCCACAACGGCAACGTTTTCTTCCAAGGGGCACATAACGTTGCTAATATTGGGATTTCAGTCAACTGAAACTTGAAGGAAATGTAGCTTATGGGTGCTAAAAGCATAATGTAATTCTTGAATTGTCTAATTTTTTGATTGGAGGGTTGAACATGTCACGAGCCGTGAATCAAAATTCACTAACTTTTTTAAACAAAATTCACTAGCCCCTAGGGAAACAACGATTTGACTTTCGACTCTCACGTGATAAGGTCGTTCACCGTGAAACCGCAGCAAATGTGTGCGCCAGCCTGCGTACAAAAAAATAATTTTCTGCAGTCATTTCGGTGTTGACATGTATGAGAAAATACTAAAAAGAATGAAAATTAAAGTGACTGGCCCCATGGGAAACAGTGAGGACTGCTTTCTCTTGTCCCGCAAAACTCATTGTTTCCCTTGGAGTCAGTCATTAGTCACTTATTTTACCGACTTTGCCAGATGTCTGTACTAGAATTGTCTAGAAGCGAAAGTAAACGATATTAGCAGGGTAGCTAGAATGCAAAAGATGAGGAAATAATTAGAGCATCGAAGAAATAGATATTTCTTAGTATATTGGCTTCGGCATCAGATTTTTGGATCCGTGCACGGGTCCGAAATAGAAACACATAACTACATGTATGGTACGGCAGATATATCTACAAATTGTGACTCATAAATGTACGAGTTAGAACCTAAGAGGCAATTCTATCAGTTTTCATCTCTCTCTGTTGCATCCTATTACATCCTGCAGCTGTTTTTCATTAGGCGAATTTAACTTTGTTTGGTGGGGAAAAGTTGTTATGGATCCCAAATGCGACTAATTGATACTCGTAAAAGGTGCAAGACAAATGAAGTCCGGATATTAAAAAGAACCCGAAGAATCGAGGTTTTTCTCAATTAAAGTCAAACGCCCCCACGTTTTACTCGAATGTAAAGAACTACTAAGCCCCCCGGGAAAACAACAGCTTGAATTTTCGACTCTCACGTGATTATGTGTGCCAGCCTGCGTACAAAAAGTAAATTTTGGCAGTCATATTCGAGTTGGGAGGTATGAAGAAATACTTTAAAGATTAAAATGACTGGCCTCACCTGAAACAATGAGGATTGCCCCGCAATGGAAACAAAACTCATTGTTTCCCTTGGAGTCAGTCATTAGTCAATTATTTTATCGACCTTGCCAGGAGTCTGTGTTAGAATTGTCTGAAAGCGAAAGTAAACAATATTAACAGGGTAGCTAGAGTGCAAAAGATGAGAAAATAATTAGAGCATCTAAAGAAATAAATGTTTCTTAGTGTATTGGCTTCGGTTATCAGATTTAACGTGCACCGAACGGTATGGCAGATATACCTACAAATTATGACTCATAAATGTACGAGTCAGAACGTAGGAAGAAATTCTGTTAATTTTCATTTCTGAAAAAACTTTTTTAGTTGAAATTACACCCTGGAGCTCTTTTCCATTAGGCGGATCTAGCTTTGTTTGGTGGGAAAAAGTTGTTATGGATTCCAAATGCGACTTATTGATACTCATAAAGGGTGCAGGACAAAAGAAGTTCGGATAATAAAAAGAATCCGAATAATCGCGGTTTTTCTCTATTAAAGTCAAACGCCCCCACGTTTTACTCGAATGTAAAGAATCGGTAAAACGAGTCGTGATCAGTACTTCGTGCAAAACTAACCAATGTATAATTTATGTATGGGTTCTCAAGCTGTTCCTATTCATTTCTATAATTTTCATTGTTACCCAAGGTTCATTAAAATTGTATGAAAAGTCGATAAAAGAGTTTTTCAATACAAAAATACGAGAGGAGTGGAAAGAAACTGAAGGTAAGAATATACTGGTTTCAAGGAGTAACCAAGTCATTCAATTTGGAGAAGATTGGTTAATTTAAACTTCATAAGAAAATTGCTCTCTAACTTTGACAACAACATAAATCTTGAAAAGTCAGCCGCTTCGATAAATACGTTTGAGTGAGAAGTATATATACAAAAGACCTTTACTACCGCATAAACGTGAGAAGAAAAGTCGAGGAAAAGTAAGAAAAGGAAGGTGAGTGTGAGTGAGAAACTCGATGTATTTACTTACTATCGGGTGAGTAACTTGTGCAAGCCCGCGGCCAAGAATTAATCCTTAGCAGGAAAGATTCCTTATATTACTCGGTAGTTTAAAAAGCGCTCGTATTCTTTCGCTGAGTCAGACAAAGTGTAATTAACAAAACTCTAAATTCACAATCAAAACTATTTGTTGCATCTAAGAAGGGAGAAGGGCAACATTTGTCATCTGTTTCTCTTTCTTTCTCAAATTACAGGATGAGAGGGCTTCTAGTTGGTTTCCATTTCTGTCCCGTTCTGTTGAGTGGTGTTGCTTTGTTTCTTGTGGCTTTCAGTTCGTCTTTGCACACTGACTTGAGCAGGGACGAGGTTTTCGAGAGAGTTGGAGGTAACGCGTCAATGTGTTATATCTCCTAACACAGTGACATTTTTTTCCGACGGGATATGAATGTTTCAAGTGCCATGGGCGAAAACACGGATCGGATGACACAGATTTGGACTGTGTTACGATAAACTTTACTATTTCCCCCAAATAAGGCTCTGTGACATTCCAAAAAACCCCCTCATTGGTAGTAAATTTCCATTCTTCCCCCTTTATACTCTGTTGCCATAGCAGTTCGCCCTAAAAAAATATGAGATCGCCCCAAAATCGAGTAAAAACAACGGAAACTTTCTACGCGCAACTCTCATAACTTTCAGGGCTTCTTCATATTCACCTTTGAACAATATCAAGAATCAAGATGAGCTCTTAAGACAGGGTAATTAACTACACACAAACTGTATTATTAAAGTATCCCAAATAAACTAAGTAATGAGAACATGAAACACGATTGTGTTGTTTTTCAAGATTTGAGCTTATTGGTCACATCACCAAGACATTATATGCTGACGAAATAAGCTGTGGATTGAGATGCCTTCAAGATGAAAAATGCCAATCTTACAACAGCAAATCCGAAGCTAATGATGCAAAGAAGGAATGTCAACTGAGTAATCAAACCAAAAAATCAAGTCCGGAAAATCTGAGGCGTAACCCACGTTCTACTTATTATGGAAGAGGTACTGTTGAGTAAGGTGCTTAACATTATGGAAAAGTTAGTGGAGGTGGGAGGGGGGTATGAAGGGTCGGAGTAGCTTGGTTGTCACAATAAAGTTTTCCTGATCCTTCTATAACGTTCCGAATTATTCTATCGATCTTCCTCATTGGCCGCCAATTTTCTATAGTCCCACCTTTAAACTCTGTTAGCGACGACTGATCCCTCTCCATTCCCTTTGAAAACAATGATATCCCCCCCTAAGACCAAGGGTCAAAAAGTCAAAAATGGTGACCTATTTCTTACTTCTGGTTAGCGCTTTTCAGAGCTCTGTCATGTCACGTGTACATCCATGTATAACCTTTCCCTAGAGAATATGAAATTAAAAATCTCTTGCTTTTCCTTATAATGATAGGTTGCCCATTTTCTTAATTTGAATTTAAATTTCCAAAATCAAGAGCTATCTAATAATTACGCGAAAGGAACTACTTATGGAATAAGACCTCTGTGGCGTGTTTTGTTTCATAGTTTGATCTTCTCCTCATTCCAAATGATTATTCTTCCCTTTTCCTACGCAGATAAACGAGCTTGGGATTCTGTTCATCCGGCTTTCTCCGGTAAAGAAATTCTGGACTCTGGACACTCCAAAGGAGACGGGGAGTATTGGATCGACCCAGGGAAGAGTGGAAACCCTTTGAAGGTCTATTGTGACATGTCAAGATCTGGTGGTAAGAGAATGAATTTTTTTTGAGACACGAGGAATTCAACAAAAGTATATTTGACTTGGAGCAGTTGTTATTGGAACGTTCTGGTCTTGGCTATTCGTGCTTTCTCTACAAAGATCCCTATTATGTTTTTAATCAAAACTATAGCAGAATTTAGTTATCATCAGCCGGCCGATTTGAACAGTAATAGGACAGTGTACGCGTCATATTTGTAATTGAACAGTGTAGTAGGACCGTTAAAGGGACAGTTAACGCGTCATGCCTGTGTGAGTGGACAGAACGCGTCATTTGCGCGCTGTTGTCTCGCATTTCGCCGAGTAAACTGTTGTTTTTCGTTTTTATGAAAACGTATAACCGATGTCTAGTTTCTTTCTCAAATTTTGTCAAAGTTTTGATCAATTGGTAACAGGCCTTCTTCTCGTCTAATATGATTACAGACCGAAATGGACTCCGCTCGGTCCTGTTACCATTTAATATGTCTAAAATTCTAGTTACATGGATGTCACCAGATCATTTAGGTTTGTTTTATTTTAGGAGGTTGGCTTCTGGTGTCAAATGTTGAGTTCGGAAGTCCCTCTCCAAAGGTGTCAGTTGAGACATCATACCGTGGAATAGGTAGGTCACACATGGTTCTGCAGAAAAGTGCCATGAAAGAGCTCAGAAAACACTTGTCCTTCACTCAGCTGAGATTCCACTGCCACAAGAAACAGGGACGCACATTCCACGTGGTCACAGCTTCCAACAGCTCAGGCGAAGTTGTGGTCCGGTACTTCAGCGGTCAGATAGATGAGCAACCGGACGCCTGTGGTTCGTTTGTGAGAGTGACGCGGGATGACAATTCCATGTTAGCTGGCATTTGCAAAGAATGGGGTCGACTAGTAAGTGGAGAGTACCAGGTTGGAAAGTGGGGAAATGGTGAAGATCAAGAGAGGCTATACTCGTTTCCCGTCTTAAGAAAGTCAAAGTATCACCTTAAGATCCTACTGCATAATGTTGACGACCTCGAAAAAATGGAATGTGATGATCGCCATGGTCAGAATATTAACACAAACGGCGATTTCTGGAGAGTCTTTGTTCGTTAGTTGCTTCTATCTGTACACCAAGCAACCCTTGACTGTGCGAATAACAGTAACAAACGAATAAAGCAAAATAAAGACAAATGCACCGTTACACTCATCAGGTTATAAGAATGTTTTTGTTTCCATTTCGGGGCAAGGGAAAGCAATTCTCAGTCATTGTTTCTCGTGGGGCCTGTCATTTTAATTTTAATTTTTGAAAATATTTTCTCATACATCCCAAACCGAATATGACTGCCAAAAATTACTTTTTGTAAGTAGGCTGGCACACACATTTGCTGCGGTCTCACGGTGAACAACCTTATCGCGCGAGAGTCGAGAGTTAAAGTTGTTGTATCCTCGGGGGCTAAGTGAATTTTGTTCACCCTAGAAAGTTAGTGTATTTTGATTCACGGCGTCTGACATATTTTTACCATCCAATCAAAAAACGTATTTGAGTTGAGAGGTACATAACGATTAAATTTTCACAACTGCTTCCTTCTAAATAAAAGGTTGAACTAGTGACCACGTCAACCTCAATGTTAAGTTGAAGGACTCTTAACATGATTGACTAGGTGATCAGATCGCGAGCGTCGCGCGTGAGTACTAAAAATTCCAGAGCAAGAGGAAAGAACACTTTACAGCTCGAAAAAAATTGACTACTGACACATGAAAATTTCAACGACCTGTTTGATGTGGCGGGAAGCCATTGAGAAAAACCATGCTTAGCACAAGAGGTCGAGGCTAGCTGGGAAATCTCCCGGACAATAAAAAAGTAATCATACAGATTTTGACCTTCAACCCCTCGGGGATTGGGGGAGGGTTTTTTTTTCCACTTTTAAGACATGACACGAGTCTTTATACTGCAACCAATCACAATCGAAGAGATTTTAATTTTCAATGATTGAGAAGTTTATATCAAACATAATAACCGGGCATTATGTATGTATATAAAAAAAAGAATTTATCGTGTTCAGACCTTCACACAAGTCAAGAACTATATTATGCTTTTAGCACCCATAAGCTCCTTTTCCTTCGGGTTTTCAGTCGACTCAAAACTCGATATCAGCAACGTCATGTGCCCCTTGGAATAAAACGTTGCCGTTGTGGCGGACCAGGGTAGGTTATGTAAGGGCTCTTTTCATACCGCAAGCAGTTTACAATTAGGAGGCTAAAATAATCGTCATTCCATACACAGGGGGTTGTCCTACCATATCGAAGCTCTCTGTGTCAGGAAGTCCACTGAACTCACACGATCAACAATCTCGCTAAGAGGTTGAGACTGGACATTGCATGTTTAAAGACCAGTGGTATCTATGTTCTCTCAGTGATACAATGCTGATGCCTCGCGTGCAGATTTGCTCGATTGTTTATGACAAAATACCGTAAACGAATAATAGCTATGACTCGTGTTTGTTGTGTCAAGCTAATTGTCGAGAGAGGATTGTCCGTTCAATTTTCTATTTTTTAATTTAATCCTTACCGGCCTTACGCCTAACCATGGTAAGAATTCTCCATATTACTCCCTCAAAATAAAATAAGAATCTAAAACAAGTGCGGTTAAAAACGTGAATGTGAAAGCGATCTTCACAGTAATGAACACTACTTAAGCAGTAGTGAAAAGAAGGCCTGAAAAAAATTCAGGCCTGTACGGGATTTGAACCCATGACCTCTGCAATACCGGTGCAGTGCTCTACCAACTGAGCTAAGGTTCCAAATAAACCCGTGAAGTGGTAAAAACAACGGGAACTTTCTACACGCAACTCTCATGACTCTTAGGGCTTCTTCATATTCACCTTTGTACGATATCAAGAATCAAGATGACCTCTTAAGACAGGATAATAAACTACACACAAACTGTATCATTAAAGTATCCAAAATAAACTGAGTGATGAGAACATGAAACACGTTTGTGTTGTTTTTCAAGGATTTGAGCTAATTGGTCATATCACCAAGACATTAAATGCCGGCGAAATAAGCTGTGGATTGAGATGCCTTCAAGATGAAAACTGCCAATCTTACAACAGCAAATCCGATGCTAATGATGCAAAGAAGGAATGTCAACTGAGTAATCAAACTAAAAAATCAAGTTCGGAAAACCTGAGGCGTAACCCACGTTCTACTTATTATGGAAGAGGTGCTGTGAGGGGACAGAACGCGTTATGTGCGGGCGCTGTTGTCTCTCATTTCGCCGAGTAAACTGTTGTTTTTCGTATTTATGAAAACGTATAACTGATATCTAGTCTCTTTTATTTCTCAAATTTTGTCATTGTTTTGATTAATTGGCAACTGTCCTTTTTGTCGTCCAATTCTATCTGTAATCATACTCGTGATTAAAAAAATCGGACTCCCGCTTCGCGGTCATACGATTTTGCTAATCATTCGTATGAGTACAGACCAAATTGGACTCCACTCGGTCAGGTTACCATTATTCATATGTAAATATTTGTAGTTACATGAATGTCACCAGATCACTTAAGTTCGTTATATTTTAGGAGGTTGGCTTCTAGTGTCAAATGTTAAGTTCGGAAGCCCCTCTCTTATGGTGTCAATTGAGACATCTTACTATGGAATAGGTAAGTCACACATGGTTCTGCAAAAACGTGCCATGAACGAACTCAGAAGACACTTGTTCTTCACTCAGCTGAGACTGACTTCCACTGCCACAAGAAACAGGGACGCACGTTCCACATGGTCACAGCTTCCAACAGCTCTGGTGAAGCTGTGGTCTAGTACTTCAGCGGTCAGACAGATGAGTAATCGGATGCCTGTGGGTCGTTTGTGAGATTGAAGTAGAATGACAATTCCAAGTTAGCTGGCATTTTCAAAGATTGGCGACTAGTAAGTGGAAAGTACTTTGTTGGAAAGTGGGGACATGGAGAAGATGAAGGCAGGATATACCGGTTTCTCGCCTCCAGACAAACATCCAGTTAGGTCTCATGTCTGACGCTCGCTTCTTCCTTGTGGTAGGCTTACTGACAGCGCTCCACTGTTTTTATCATGTAGTTATAGTTTTACATGCACTGCATCCTAAAGGAGTCAATGAGATAAACAAGGTTTTCTATGTAATAGTTTATTTTGCTTTGCTTATTCCCAATAACAATTAAGGTTCGAAGAGTTAGCCTTTCCCTTTTGTTTAGTCACGGAATATGTAAATATACCGATTTCCGCGTGAATATAAATAAATATTAGGGCAAGGTGTTTTTTTTAAATCTAACAATTTGTTATTTCATTTATTTCAAAGTCAAATCGTTCAAATTTTTGAGAGTACGAGGAACTTTGTCTGAAGTATAAAGGGGGTAAGTTTTGAGAGAAACAGTAGTGCTGTGTCGGAAGGGAAGTATGACAAAATAATTTGGTTTTATCAACTGAATTGTTAACGTAAATTGGCCACCACAAAGAGCTTAAAAGCTGACGTTTTTAGTGTTAGACCTTTGTTAGAGCGAATGACGTTTCGTATGCATTTATTATCATGAGATGAATGTCGTACGCTCTAGTTTGAATTCTCAGTCGAATGAAGCGCCTTGTCCTTCGATCACGTAATCAGCGTGCATGTGACAGAATAGCCAGAGGATTGTGAATTGCAGTGTTATTTAGAGGATGAATGTATGTCGATCAACATCGGACTAATGGGGGATGAAACGTACTATTGTGAATTCAGTGACTCAGATCATGTTGTACATACTCAAGATCTTGAAAATCAGAAAGACGTTATTTACAGATCAGTACAGGTGAGAATTTGTCGATTCAACAGACGGATCAATTTTTCTGTCAATCTTATTCCGTAAGGGGGTGCATTCAGATTAGTTTTAGAACTCTTTCGTTTCCAAAGGCCTGTAAGGATTAAATATAAATCGAGACACATGATCGAAGAATCCTCTCTCGAGGATTAACTTATAGAACAAACATGAGTTCTAGTTACTGTTTACAGTATTTTATCATGAACAATCGAGCAAATCTGCTCGCGATCGAGGCATCGGCATTCCATCACTGAGAGAACATAGATGCCACTGGTCTTCAAACAAGCAATGGCCAGTCTCAAACTCCTAGCGAGATTGTCGCTCGTGTGAGTTCATTGGACTTTCTGACACAGAAACCTTTGATATGATAGGAGAACCCCCTCGTATGAGGACTTCTAGATGGTTTCCATTTCTGTCCCGTTCTGTTGAGTGGTGTTGCTTTGTTTCTTGTGGCTTTCAGTTCGTCTTTGCACACTGACTTTAGCGGGGACGAGGTTTTCGAGAGAGTTGAAGGTAACACGTGAATGCGTTATACCTCTCGACACAGTGATATTTTTTTCCGACGGGATTTGAATGTTTTAAGTGCCATGGGCGAAAACTCGGATCGGATGACACAGATTTTGGCTGTGTCACGATAAACTTTACATGATCCCTCCCCCGAAAAAAAAAATAAGGCTCTGTGACATTCTTACAATCCCCCTCATTGGTAGTAAATTTCCTTTATACCCTGTTGGCCACAGCAGTTGGCCGTAGAAAAAAATATGAGATCGCCCCAAAATCAGGTAAAAACTACGAGAACTTTCTACGTGCAACTCTCATAACTCTCAGGGCTTCTATGCATTCACTTTTGTACGATATCAAGAATCAAGATGACCTTTTAAGACAGGGTAATTAACTACACACAAACTGTATTATTAAAGTATCCAAAATAAACTAAGTGATGAGAACATGAAACGCGATTGTGTTGTTTTTTCAAGGATTTGAGCTAATTGGTCATATCATTAAGACATTATATGCTGACGAAATAAGTTGTGGATTGAGATGCCTTCAAGATGAAAAATGCCAATCCTACTACAGCAAATCGAATACTAATGATGCAAAGAAGGAATGTCAACTGAGTAATCAAACCAAAAAATCAAGTCCGGAAAACCTGAGGCGTAGCCCACGTTCTACTTATTATCATGGAAGAGGTACTGTTGAGTAAAGTGCTTAACATTATGGAAAAGTTAGTGGAGGTGGGGGTACGGGGGGTATGTAGGGTCGGAGTAGTTTGGTTGTCACGATAAAGTTTTCCTGATCCTTCCATAAGGTTCCGAATTATTCTATCGATCCATTGGCCGCTAATTTTCTTTAGTCCCACCTTTAAACTCTGTTAGCGACGACTGATCCCCTCTCCATTCCCTTTGAAAAAAACGATATCTTCCTCCCCCCCCCCCAAGACTCTGCCACCCCTCTTTACAACTCAAAAATGGTGACCTATTTCTTTCTTCTGATTAGCGCTTTTCGGAGCTCTCTCTCTCTTTTTGAGACACGAGGACTTCAACAGGAGTATATTTGACTTGGAGCACTTGTTATTGGAACGTTCTGGTCTTGGCTGTTCGTGCCTTCTCTACAAAGATCCTTATTATGTTTTGAATCAAACTATAGTAGAATTCTCGAAAGTGATTGGTTATCATCAGCCGGCCGATTTGAGCACTAATAGGACAGTGTACGCGTCATGCTTGTAATTGGACAGTGTAATAGGACCGTTAAAGGCGTCATGCCTGTGTGAGTGGACAGAATGCGTCAAGTGCGCGCTGTTGTCTCGCATTTCGCTGAGTAAACTGTTGTTTTTTCGTTTTTGTGAAAAACGCATAACCTATGTCCAGTTTCGTTCTCAAATTTTTTCATAGTTTTGATTAATTGGTAACAGGCGTTCTTGTCGTTCAATTCTGTCTGTAATGATACGAGTGATTAACATATCGGACTCCCGCTTTGCGGTCATACGATTCTGTAAATCACTCGTATGATTACAGACCGAATTGGACTCCACTCGGTCCTGTTACATTTAATATGTCCAAAATTCTAATAACATGGATGTCACCAGATGATTTAGGTTTGTTTTATTTTAGGAGGTTGGCTTCTAGTGCAAAATGTTGAGTTCGGAAGTCCCTCTCCAAAGGTGTCAGTTGAGACATCATACCGTGGAATAGGTAAGTCACACATGGTTCTTCAGAAACGTGCCATCAAAGAGCTCAGTAGACACTTGTCCTTCACTCAGCTGAGATTCCACTGCCGCAAGAAACAGGGACGCACATGCCACGTGGTCACAGCTTCCAACAGCTCAGGTGAAGCTGTGGTCCGGTACTTCAGCGGTCAGACAGATGAGCAACCGGATGCCTGTGGTTCGTTTGTGAGATTGACGTGGGATGACAATTCCGAGTTAGCTGGCATTTGCAAAGATTGGGGTCGACTTTTAGGTGGAGAGTACTTAGTTGGAAAGTGGGGACTTGGGAAAGATCAAAACAGGCTATACTGGTATCCTGTATTAAGAAAAAAAAGGTATCACCTTAGGGTCCACTTGAATAACGTTGATGACCTCGACAAAATGGAATGTGATGATGGCTCCTCTAACAATGATGACACAAACGGCGATATCTGGAGAGTCTTTGTTCGTTAGTTGCGTCTATATGTAAACCAAGCAACCTTTGACTGTGCGAATAATAGTAACAAACGAATAAAGCGAAATAAAGAAAAATGCACTGTTACACTCATCAGGTTATAAGAATTTTTTTCTTTCCATTTCGGGACAAGGGAAAGCAATCCTCTTTGTTTCCCGTGGGGCCAGTCATTTTAATTTTTATTTTTGAAAATATTTTCTCATACATCCCAAACAGAATATGACTGCCAAAAATCGCTTTTTGTACGCAGGCTGGCACACACATTTGCCGCAGTTTCACGGTGAACAACCTTAGAGTCGAGAGTCTAAAGTTAAAGTTGTTGTCTCCTCGGGGGCTTAGTGAAATTTTTTCACCCTAAATAGTTAATGCATTTTGATTCACGGCGCGTGACATACTCAACCATCCAATCAAAAAACCAATTTGAGTTGAGAGGTACATAAAAATTAAATTTTCACAACTGCTTCCTTCTAAATAAAAGGTTGAACTAGTGACAACGTCAACCTCAATGTTAAGTTCAAGGACTCTAAACATGATTGGCTAGTTGATCGGATCGCGAGCGTCGCACGTGAATACTAAAAATTCCAGAGGAAGAGGAAAGAACACCTTGCAGTTCGAAAAAAGTTCACTACTGAAACAAGAAAATTTGAACGACCTGTTTGATATGGCGGGAAGCCATTGAGAAAAACCATGCATAGCACAAGAGGTCGAGGCTAGCTGGGAAATCTCCCGGACAATAAAAAAGTAATCATACAGATTTTGACCTTAAACCCCTCGGGGATTGGGGAAAGGTTTTTTCTACTTTTTAGACATGACACGAGTTTTTATACTATAACCAATCACAATCGAAGAAGTTTTAATTTTCAATGATTTAGAGGTTTATATCAAACATAATAACCGGGCATTATATACATATATATATATATATTTATTTTGATTTTTTGTTTTTGTTTTTGTTTTTTTATCGTGTTCAGAGCTTCACACAAGTTAAGAACTATATTATGCTTTTAGCATCCATAAGCTCCTTTTCCTTTGGGTTTTCAGTCGACTCAAATCTCGATATCAGCAACGTCATGTGTCCCTTGGAAGAAAGCGTTGCCGTTGTGGTGGACCAGGGTAGGTTATGTAAGGGCTCTTTTCATACCGCATGCAGTTTACAATTAGAAGACTAAAATAATCGTCATTCCATACAGAGGGGGTTGTCCTACCATATCGAAGGTCTCTATGTCAGGAAGTCCACTGAACTCACACGAGCAACAATCTCTCTAAGAGGTTGAGACTGGACATTGCATTTTTAAAAACCAGTGGTATCTGTGTTCTCTCAGTGATACAATGCTGATGACTCGCGTGCAGATTTGCTCGATTGTTTATGACAAAATACCGTAAACGAATAATAGCTATGACTCATGTTTGTTGTATTTAGCTAATTGTCGAGAGAGGATTGTCCTTTGTCCTTTTTCTTGTTTTTAATTTAATCCTTACCGGCTTTACGCCTAACCATGGGAAGAATTCTCCATTTGACTACCTCAAGATAAAA